TTGTTGTTGTTGTTGTTGGAAGAATCAGCCCGAGTGACTGCTAGGGGTGCTGTTAAAAGCAGGCACCACTAGCATTGTCGGGGAGGCTCCATCTATTGGTGGGGAGCAGCACCTGCTGGAAATCGGGTCCAGCGTCCCTGTAGAGAACAATGTGAAGTAGAATGTCTGAGTTGGAACCAGTGTGAACAGGAAGGGGCAGTGTGCATGTGGCATACTGCGTAGCCACACGGGTCTGCAGGGCCTGTCCCGCATTCTCAGCCTAAAAGCCTAGAAATAAGGGCTTACAGGCCCCTGTCGTTTCAGCCTGAAAGACTGAAAAACGAGGGCCTGCAGGCCCTATGTCGTTTCAGCCTAAAACAGGGCTTTTCAGCCTGAAACGGAGGGCCACTTTCGGGCCCTCATAAGACCGACCTACCCTAACACTCAGGCACAAAACCAGGGTTTCGGGAACAGGCTGATAGCCTGTTCCCACTACAGCCTCAAGCAGGAGCTGCAGCGGCAGCCCCTGACTCCCTGCGGCATTGGCAAGAGCAGCCTCCTGGACTGCCTCGCCCTGCAGTCAGGAGGCAGGCCGTGTAGTACATAGGGAGTCCCATGCACTTCACGGGTAGGTAGTTGGACAGAGGCAGTAGTAGTCTTCAGGATTCGGCCGCAGCACTCAGGAGGAGCGCTGCCAGGAGTAGCTTAGCGCTAGCAGTAGTCTTCAGCGCTGGGCGCTAGTAGCCATAGCAGTAGTCTTCAGCGCTGGGCGCTAGTAGCCATAGCAGTAGTCTTCAGCGCTGGGCGCTAGTAGGTGGTAGTAGTAGTGTGGGAGAGAGATGGCTGGCGGAGGCCAGCGAGACTTACCTGTGGCGCCATAGCTCCAGCTCCATCTTCGAGGTACCTGCATCAAGGCGCCAGCTTCACAGGTTAGTACCGGACTGAGAGAGAGAGAGCGAGAGTTCTTCTTCTTCCTCTTCTAAGTCCACCATCTCTTCTTCCCCTCTCACCACCTGACTTCTCAGTATCAGTGGACTACGACAGAGAGAGAGTTGTGACTTGAGACTTGACGACATTGGATCCAGACTCGACATTGGGATTCAGACATTTTGACGAGGGACTATTTGGGCCTGTGCCGAAGACTTGGTGTTGACGACATTCCCATCTTCCCCTCTTCTTCGTCCAACCCCCCTCTTCTTCGTCTGTGTATGGTTGGGGCTGGCGCATTCTTCCTGTGTGGGCGCCAGACCCCCTTCACACCATGGAATGATGATGATGATGTATGTTCGGGGCTGCATTGCAATATTGATTTTTCGGATCATTGGTATCTAAGTCTTCCGCTACACTATCTTGTACTTCGTATTGAGAGGTCGGTTCTTGTTCTGGTCTGCACCGTTACAGTATGCAACAGTTTGGTATCGGAGCGGACCTCTCATTCAGAGGACCCACTCAATTAAGTAGCCAGCTTGCTTGATCTAGTGATCACTCATTAGTAAATCAAGTAGGACTTCGTCAAATCTCTGAATTTTTTTTTTCTCGCAACAACTATCTGAAAATCTCTGATAATCGCATTTCGTTTTATCTGAAAACACCGGATAGTAGCATTTCGTTTCTCTGATATTTCGCATACATAGCTGAAAATTTCTGAGGTTAACATTTCGTTTTCTAGGTATATTAGGATAACGATAGAAGTGGTCATATTCTCGGAAACCGGATTTATTCTTTTCTGAAAATCGAATTTCCATTCTATCTCGCAAATTTTTTTTGAAAACCGAAATCTTGCGAAGCCTACCAATATTTCGTTAGGCATATTTGGAGGTTGCCATATTCTCAGAAACTGGATTTAGTTCTTTTCTGAAAATCGCATCTCTACTCTATTTCGCAAATTTTTTTTTCAAGATCGCATTTTTATGAAAGCCGAAACTTTGCGGAACCTAGCCTAGATCTCGCTCATAGTACTCTTCTGACATGTCTCACTCATAATAGATCGACAGATATACCAAAAAAAAAAAAAAAAGGAAGTAGTCCTCTTTTATTTTTTTATTTTTTATCTGTTGATTAGGGCCGGAAGGAAAGTATTGTTGGGTTGGTTCCCTACCTGCGTTTTCCCTCCCACCCACCCATTTGTATGCATTTCCGGGTTGGTACAGTGCCACGTCAGCCACAGTGCCACGTCAGCAGTGCCACATCAGCCACAGTGCCACGTCAGCAGTGCCACGTCAGCCACAGTGCCACGTCAGCCACAGTGCCCCGTCAGCCACAGTGCCACGTCAACAGTGCCACGTCAGCACTGCCCCGCCACCATGACGGGGTCAGTTCTGGGCATGCCAGGCCAACTGGCAAATGAGTACATTGCCGAGTACCGACAGCGTTTCGAAACTCAGCTCGCACTAATCGCGCCTGAGGAACAGCGCCAGCTGGCAGCCGAGGCTCTCCGCCTACAGGCTGAAGCGGCGGCAACAGCTGAGAAGCAGCGGCTTCAGGCCGAGGCTGAAGCAGATACCCAGGCACGCCGCAAGGAGGCCCAGGATCTGCTACAGCGGCATGAAACCTCCAGCATCGAAAGGCTCAAGTATTGGGACTTTGAACCATCCGAGGAGCACGACGACGTGACACCGGAGGAACAACACAGGGAATTCATGGCCAAACTCGTGACTCGGTTGGTCTACACTTGTAACCACCTGCAGTCCGAGCTGGCGAATATGCACCGGGCCATGCGGAACCACAAGGCTCAGCAAGAGGATGCAGCACGGGCACTTGACTCCCGTGTGCAGGACTTGGAGCAAGCTGCACCAAGACTGGAGGCTGGCGAGTCCAGCAATGCACCCTCTGCCCGCCAACTGGAGCGACGAGTCGACCACGTCGTCGCAATGCTCGGCGACATCAGCACCTTCGCTGCGCCAACCACCATCAGCAAACAGCTGGATTCCTTGAAGACCGAGGTTCAGCAACTGCAGCTGCCTAACAAGGATGGCAACAGCACAACGCATTATAAGATGCCGACATTCCAAATTGAGAAGTTCGATGACTACAAGCATCAAGACCCGGTCCTCTGGTGGGAAGGTTTTACGACGCAACTTCGGATTCTGTTCGTCGCCAAGCACGCGTACATCGGCGCCCTGTTTCTCAACTCAAAGGGCGGATGCCAGATCTGGTTAAGCCACCTGGCATCCATCCACGACGTCGACGTCGCAGATCTGAAAGATAAGATTTCATGGGAAGAGCTAACACGGCTATGGAAGAAGCGGTTCATCGTGGACGACGCACCTGCACTCGCCATCAACCATCTCTTCGGCATGACGCAAGGCAACACAGCAACACGTGACTGGATCACGGAATGGCAGAAGATCGCGGCAACGCCCGATCTCGACTTGCCATTTTCGCATCTACGCCGCGAGTTCTACAACAGGTCATGTGCTGCATTGAGCCTTGCACTTGGTGATCGCGAGCAATATGCAACCTTCGCTGAAATCATTGACAAGGCGAGGGAGATCATCAAGACCAACAGGGCGGCTGCACACGAGAAGTCAACATGGCAGCCAACCTATGTGGAGAAGGTGAGAACTGGTCCGCGACCGCAGCATGTCGCTGCAGTCCAATCGGACAACATTGTGGAAGACCCGGCAGCCACCCAAGCGTCACGTGAGGGTGATCAGGTGGCTGTTGTCCAGCCGCGAAGCAACAACAAGTCCCGAGGAAACGGGAAGGCGAAAATCGCATCGCCGGCCGGAAACGGACAGCCAGCACCATGGGTCAAGTTTAACTTGACCAAGGCCGAGTACAAGTACCGCGGCCGTTACGGTTGCTGCTATTGGTGCAACAACACCAAGCACAAGACCTCCCAATTCCCTGATCAAGGCAAGGAGGATGTTCGGCCTCGTATTAACTCGGGAAACTGAGTTGCACAGGAGGTAAGGCGACTCCACCTCTCCCTCCGCCAGATTCGGCCGCCTTGCTAGCGGCCTCCTACACATCTGGGGAGGATGCGAATATCGCAAGTCCTCAATACACTTACGAGGACTATGCTGTCCACTTGGTCCCACCGTTGGACCAACCACTCCACGTGCAACAATCTACCGCATGCACGGTTTCATCACCATCGGCAACCGATTCGGCAGCTTCGCCGCCATCTGCCGCCGGGGATTCAACGTCATGGTCAAGACTTGAAGAGCTCGACCCGTTGACTTTTGCGGACTTCCAGTGGATGCCCCTTCCCCGGTCCGGTCGATTGCCGAAACCGCATTGCAACGTGCTCATGGCACAATTGCCGGATTACTTGCACACTGCAGTACCAACTCCGTTGATGGACGCCGGAGTAGAGGTTGTCGACCTTCACGCCTACATTGCGAAGATCGACCGAGAGTTCAAGACACAACGGTACGACGACATTGACGCACCATTGTTATATGTACGCATTCAAGATCGGAGAGGCGACCTGCAACGCTTTGATCGATTGCGGAACATCTCGCAACTACATGAGCCAGGACTTTATGGTACGCGCCGGCCTTGGCCCACGCGTCCGGAGGAAGTCCCAACCATTGTAGACTGTGCATTGGCAACTTCCTTCGACGGGGTAGACTGGGCATTGGCAACTTCCTAAGAGGACGGTCACACGCACAAGTCAATAGACCGGTGCATATTCTGTTCCTGAGAGGAGATGGGGGGGAAGGGAGGGAGGGAAGGGAGGGCCAGGAAAGGATCGACGGGGTAGACTAGCGGTGGGCATTGGCAGCAGGGGCCTGAGGGTTTAGGGTTTTATGAGAGGTATCTAGGGCTTTGAGAAAACGGGGACATCAGGTATAAGGATAAAGTTAGTAGGTTGGAAGAGGAGGGAGAAGTGATCTTGCTGGAGAAATTCCCACTGAGCCTCTGTGGACAGCCATGGTCGCCATTGTAGATTATTGGACTGGACCAAACTACATAACCTGCAATTCTGGTCCACCCATTTAGCTCTGAAATTTTCCAGCAGCTGTCGCCTCTTGGGCTCTTCCGATTAATTTCTAAGTCTCATTTGTAAGTGCGTACAGGCGGATTGTGTCCGTTGTCTCCTCTCGTGGGAGCACCTCATCCGACATGCTGTCATGAGCAGAGCCAGGTGGGAGTACTGGAACAGGTTGAACATAAATTGCATCCAATCAATTCCTTCAGATGGGAGGATCGCAAAGAGGATAGTCCTCACATCCCATGGGAAATGCTGACCGGTGAAGTAGTGCCAGGCCGCATCCCACCACCTCCAGGTTGGTTTCTTTCAGTCAACCAGTCAGGGGCGGGGAGGCACCTGTGGATAATCTGCCATTGGAGAGCTCCGTGACTGGTCGGTCTGATATGGGAGTAGGCCGGCCACCTAAAGGTGCAGAGGTCTGTACGCTTTAGAGTAGAGTCCCTATCCCACCGTCCAAGGACCGTATCCCTGCCCGGTATGTGCTTTCGCATAGTCCTATATCCTTTTTTGACAGAATACTGCCACGGGTGCATTGTTGAAGTTTCCCCCATTTCCATTCCCATTCCGCCGGGTCAAAGGGGAGGTGGGAAAGGGGGACGGTCGGTTCAAAGGCATACAAAGTCTCATCTTTGTCCTGTACCACCTGTACCCGGATAAGGGAGTCAGGTGGGCTGTGGGTGTCGAGCCGCTCCATCCTGCGGAACTCATACCATCTTGCCCCCGCCAGAAGCGGAGTGTATGCCACGAGTTGCAGAGAGGTGGGGGATAGCACTTGGTCCACCTTATAGACAGCCATGGGTAGGTGCTGTGTTTCAGTACGCACCACCCAGTCACCTTGAATCATCTTGGGGCCTTCTCGCAAGGCAAGCACCCACGCCAAAGGGACCGCTTCCTGAATTTCTGTCAAATCTTGCTCCAGGTTGGGAAGCGGTCCCATCGTGAGCTGGATTGTTTCGCAAGTGTGCCAGGGTGTTTCGCTGTTATTCCACAGGTCCCCAACTATATAAATGCCCTTCTTGTTTTTTTTTTATGTTTTTGTTTTCCAACTGGTCCCCCCAGCCTCGGCCCGTCCAGCTACTGGTACTGCCGGCTTGGCAGGCTCGACATACCCGTCGCTGGAGGCTTGGGCTTGATAGCTGGGCCAAGTACTGGTGGTTTAATGCCACCTTCCCCACAAGGAACAGATCAGTGAGATGGCTGGAAGATAGATATTGGCCGATTCCAAGAAGGGCAACTCCCTTCTTCACCCAAAAATAATGCCCAGGCGCTGTATGCGAATATAATGCCCAAAGGGCGTTATATTCATTTATAATGCCCGGGCGTTATATTTGGTAAATTGGTGGCAATATTCATAGAGGCCATATTGGAGCATGACATATTGCAGACCGCCAATATGTGGGACGATCTGCCTTTCATGGTTAGGATGTAAAACAACCCAGATGACTTCTGCTTTCACGAACGGTAGACCGGTAAATGGAGAAACACATCCAATACAGCCCAGGTAGCCACCCTGAGAGGGATCACACGACCCAACACATGCAAAACCCTGTGCAGTTAGCCCGTCAACCCCATCCCGCCCAACAGACACAACAACCACCACACCCTGAACCCCCGTTACCCCGCGTGCCACCTCCTCTCAGGAGATAGCCACTATGGGTTAAGAACCTGACACAGGCAAACGTCCACGTGCGGTCACTCAATGTTAATGGGCTAATTACTCCGAATCCACAGAAAACTGGGGTGATCTGGAATGAAATCAGGCAGCAGAACACTACAAACTGGCCCGATGTGGTGTGTGTACAAGAAACCCAGAAGGAGGAGGAGGAAGAAGAAGAACAAGAAGAAGAAGAAGGAGTGAGGGAGGGAGGGAGGGAGGGAGGGAGGAAGGAAGGAAGGATCAAGGAAAATGGAAATAGGATCCAGAAGTGAGACTCAAGTCCCAAAAACATAATAGAAATGGAAATGCCAGACTAATATAACAAGGATAAGAACAGGAACAAAACTTACAAAAGCAAGATGTTGCACAAGGATAAGGAGAAGAGGATGAGCACCAATGAGAATATCAAGAATTATGAGTGCTGGCAAACCAAAATGAAGCAACAAAACACACAAGCTCCAACATGGCACCAGTTTGTGCAATCGACAGCCGCCATCCGTGAAAATATATGGGGGCATTTCGATTTGTATGATTGAAACGCAATCGACAACACCAATTTGTGCAATCGACAGCCTCCAGTGATCAAAGAGATTGCACTATCAACACACTACAGAAGGGTCCACCATAAGCCCTCCAGTGTATATACGCTACACTGCGGCTACAGAGCGATGAATTGAATACCATCCACTGACAAGGAATCGACAGGAAAAAGACAGAAAAACAAGCAAAAGCAAAACAAGAGCTCGGGCACTTAACGAGCACTTCGAGCAGCAAAGCAAAAGGAATGGAAATGAAAATTTAATGAATGCATCTGAGTTGGAGAGGCTGTACATTACCGAGCAACCACTGAATTCTCATGCTGAAAAAAAAGAGAGGTGTTGCCGTGGATGAAAACACATGCTTCACAAATATGATTAAAATATCTGTGTGTGTACCTTCTCAACGCTCCAAGGGTTTCATTCTCAGTCCTCTGTTCCCATCAAGGCTTCACCTATCTTGAGGTGACTTTCCTGTGCCATCTTCAGATCTAGCCTCTGCCCCTTCTTGTCTTACGGTCTAGCTGCGATAGCCGTGAGCACTCTCCTGTGGGGACAGGGAATGACACCTCCTGTATATTGTAGGTGTGGTATCTTGGTTCCTCACACTATTTGCAGGAATATCTGCCATTTCACCTGTTTGAGCAGACATAGCCATAAGCTGGTCAGCCGTCTGGGATGCGTGACCCGCAATTTCGCTAAGTTGTTTGAATCCTTTGCTGTCCTCAACTCTTGGATACTGGGCTGGTGTCGTGAGAGGCACAGGGGGATATGGGTGTGGAGGCTTGATGGAATTGATGCTTGGTTGGTGTGGCTTGTGGCAGGGATTGGAAGGCTGCAATATCGGGCACCAACATTGGAACAGTTGCATCTTCCCAAACCTGCTTGGCATCTGTCATACTGAAGTGAGTGCTATTTTCTGCCTCACACCGACTGTCCTCCGCACTGATGGATATTTTCCTTTGCATGGCCCCGTTAAACGGCACAAGGAACCCCTCCTCACCCGATTGTTGACAGGCACTCGGCGATGACGGAAATCCTCCATCCCTGATTACAGCAGATGTTGCTTTTTGATGGGTCACTGAGGTGAAGTAGGTGGGCAGAGAGGAGGACATTGATGGAGTGAAGGTTGTTCGGGTAGATGATAGCGTTTGAGGAGTCGCAGCCGTTGTCGGAACGTCGCCATCTGCCACTGAAAGGGGCTCTGCTGTCCCATCGAAGCCACCTACTGATCTATATTCAGATTGTGGTCCTGAATCTGCAATGCAACCGGCAAATGCTACGCTGTCAGACTGGGGAAGCTGCACGATCAATGAACCAGACATAGACGGAGTGGTGCTGGAAGGCGCTGATGCCACGTAATGAGAGCACGGAGGCGTTGATGCAATCATACGCTGACTGACGTTTTGTGCATCTTCTCGATGATTTGGACTCGAAACATGCTCTTGACTTTGCTTGTTTGAATAGCGGAGATTCTCTGCCTCCATCCGGATACCAGTGGTTTCCAGAATGACGTCACCAAGAGATTCCGGTGATGGGGTTGTGGATTCTCCTCCCTGTGTTTGTGATCGTGACCGCTGACTTTCATGCCTACGTCTGCCTTGCTCCTTCTCTACCAACCTCCTCGGTTTCTTCGTTTCTGTCCCATAGTAAGAGCCTTCCCACCCCTTGCTCTCGACTGCGCGCTTTTTCGTCTTTTCGAAATTGCCCCTCGGTAGCTTTCTCAAACTTGCATCTGAACCACTCCAACCTCCGCAGGGGTGCCCTCTCTCCTCTGCAGATAGATCCCAAACCTCTGCCTGCTCGGAACGGTAATCAGCATAACGTCTTTGGATCGACCCATAACTCTGCTGGGACTCCACGGACAAGAAGTACAGCGAATCATCCTCATCCGATTCTTCATCTCCCTGTCCCTGTTGCTCATCATCCACAACATTTGGTACTTTTTGTGATGTATTATGGAGACCTTGCATAACCTCGATTCTGCATGCCGCTTGGTCATAGGTTACAGGGATGCGCTCTGCCTCAGCTGCATCTGTGTAACAATAGCATAAGACAGCAAACCACATGGAGGTATGTCGACGCCATAGCTGGTCATTCACTACTAATCACTAGTCCTA